CATGCTGGAGCTGGCACGTCAGGTCTTTGAAGACGGTAGGTGTTCTCGGCATGGCTGTAACAACAGAAAAGGCTGTTGTATTTTGTAAAAATGAAATGCTACTTAAGGTAGGCCCTGCTCTGTGTGCCACATAGCTTCTGCTAATAGGATGGCGTGCATATTCAGAGATACGAACTATCAAGGCACATGAGGGTATGTCTGTATCTGCTGGTCAGAAGGCAATGAATTTGCAAAGAAATCATTAACTACAATATACGGGGCTGTACAGTGTCAGAACCCAGGAGAGGCTAAAGCTAAGGACAAGGGGGAAAGATTGCTGTCCTCAAGCAGACTTGGGTGAAAATGGGGAGTACAACCATTGTGGCAGTGTGTTGGTAGTGAGGTACCAAAGGAACTGTACAGGAACCCTGTTTTTGGGGGGGACCACAGTGTCCTCTGTGAAATGAGCTGTGTATGGCTACTGTATGGCCTGCCTGATTTACACCAGTTTGTTTGTTCTCTTCATACCATTAAACTTTAAACTCTACTAAATGGTGTGATTGTTCAAGTTAACTGTGGTTTTGTCTTTCAGCATTTCAGGTTGCAAAGAATTGTTTAGAATAAAGAAGCAGAGCTGAGATTTCTAAAGGGAATTAGGTGCCTCACTCCTCTAGGCCATGCTATTAGTGCCAGTTGAGAAATTAATTGATGATACATTGTGAGCATCATGTCTTCACATAGAAAATATGCACAGTAAATGATTTTTGCTTTGGGAAGTATTTACCTCATGCTGTTAAGACCATATAGACAACATATTATCTCCATTTGTTTCAATGCCCATTTGTCTTAATTATTAATGTGAATTTGAGCTGCTTTCTTCATTGCATTTAAAAGCAAATCACCCCAAGTTCAGAAGTTCACTGCACATGCCCCAAACTTTTTTTTCTCAAGAGCTTAAAGCAAACTTCAGTGATCTTAGTCATGTTCTGCTTGACCAAATACTGACCTTCCTCTGCAGTAGAAAGACATTTAAGCCTGTTTTCTGAAATTAAATCAAATTGTTGTAATCCATTGAGATTTACAACTGCTCAAGTCTAGTCAGATTCATATATGTTTCAAGTGAAACAGGTTTATATGGTGTTTGTTTTTCTTGAGCTAAGGTGGTATGTAGCATTTGGGATTAAATTGAAAATCAGTGTGTTTCACGAATGTCATCAGAGTGGGTATGTAAAAATATTCCCAAAAATATTTCTCAAAACAATATCTATATATTATTTAATGCTCATTGCCAAAGGTTTCTCTGTATTCTGCTGTACACCACATTTTCTGAAAGTATGTATGCTGTCATGGCTAGTAACTGTTCCTCAGTGATTAGTGTGACAGTAAGTGAAGCGTGAATATTGAGACTTGCCATATCATGCATGCCAAGTTCCTATATGGCCCAACTGCTGTGAGACAAAACATGCTATTATGTTTTAGACACAAAGCCATATTGTATGACGTTCCATCCTGTCTCGTACTGAAGGAGGTGTATGTAAAACTCAAATCTTTTTTTTCTTTAGTTCTTTTTGTTAACTTTTCTGTATTAGGTATTTAACTACTGAACCCCGTCAGAAAATTTAGCCTTTGGCTCTATTAAGGAATCATGTTTCAAGCTTAAATCAGGCAAATTATTAATGTTTTAAGGAGAATATTTTAAAGAGAATATTGGTAAAAAAAAAAATTAATGAAAGAAACAAAAGCAAACGTTCCAACGTTCCAGACCACTGAGGTTATGCACTAAATGGGGTTTTCCGAACAGTTCCGGTGTAGCATATGTAATTTAAATACATGATCATACAGTGCATTTTTCATAAGTAAAAGAATAGCTTGTCTTTAAACAAAGCAGCAAAATTAGTCATGCGTTCCATTAAGGCATCAGTTTTAATACTGACAACCTTAGGAGCCCACATACATATGCTTTTTGCAGTGTCCACTTATTTCCAGAAGTGACCTTCACAGAACACATGACTTTTGGAGAAGATTTTTTTCATTGCTTTGCAAAGCTCCGTAAACAGAACTTTGGTGTAGAACTGTAAAGATACAGCTGAGTCTAGGTGAAAGTGATGATTTGATCCATGAGTTACTTGGATGATCTTTGGCCTGTATTACACGGGAGGTGACACTAGATCATTATGGTCCCTTTAAAATTCATAAATGCTTGGAACCATAATACTAATAATGTAGCAACTGGAATTTTCAAAGAACTAACAAACAACTAACACCATCCCCACACCCCTAGCACTACCTAGAGTATGATTAGTGCAGGTAGGTCTAATAATTATCGCAGATTGAACTATTTTTGCAGACTGTGTAATGAATATAGTCTTTTTTTCTATGTAATAATTATAAACCCAGCTGTAATTATGGCTGATTTATTCATAATTTTTTGATTAGTTGATATGATTATGTTTCAGCCCTAGATATTTTTGTTGAGTTTATATTGTATTAATGGATAATCTGCTGATTATTTGATGCTTATCTTTGGTTTCTTGATTGATTTCAGTAAACAGGTGTCTTTTTTGTGTCTAAACTGGGAAGGTGACTTTGGATTTCTAAACTGTTCCTACTCAGAATATTTTCAATTTATATAAGTTAATCTGCTTTTCTTGCAAAAAAAAAAAAAATCTTAGCAGTATGCCAAGTATGCTGGTGATCATTAATACAGTCAAAATGTCAGCATTGTTCTGTTCGAGGAACTGCGGTGTCATCCATAATTTCACTTGCAATTCAGAATTAGTTAATCTTTGAACATTATTTTCTCTTGCTTTGCCTTACTTAATTAGCATCTTCATATACCTATGGGTCAACTAATGAATGGTGTAATTCTTATACTGGAGAGTAATGTTTCACTACTTACTTAAGTGACCTCGTTTTTCTGAATTAACAGTAGTGCTTGTTTGAGACAGAGCAAGTTTACTATTGTTCTTAAAAAGGATGCATTTACCTCTGTGGGGAAAAAAATTACATTGGTGAAATGCATTGCCAGAACCTCTGAACAATTAATTGGTGCAAGGGGGGTTAGGACTCAAGACAGGCCTCACAGACTTAATATAATCACCATTCCATGGAAATTTTGGATGTGTAGAAGAATTACTATCAATTCTCCCTGAATTTACTCCTCCCTTTCCTTTTCTTTGTTACAAATAGCTTTTTCTTTTGGTATTTTGCTGTCTTCTGTAATAAAATTATCTGTAATTTTCACTAAAGTTTAATGAACAATTTCGACAATCTGGTAGTAAATACTCTGAAATTAATCTAATTTATAATCTAATTTATAGGCAATGACTGTTTCATTCAAGATGTTTCTATTTTGTCATGAACTGAAAATGAAAACAGAAAAAAATTATGCCCATCAGAAACACTGGAGTTCAGTTGTTTAACCTGAAATAGCAATTCCGAATCCTAATCCTGGGTGTTCTATAAGATTATGACTGATGAGATACAATGTCCCAAAGTGGTCAGCACTCCTGGGCAATTCATCCCTGGGCAATTTCTGGACCAATATCCTGCTAGTTCTCAAGAAGAGATCAGATAGGCACAGTATTCAAATTTCTATCTAGCATGCAGTTGCTAGAAATTAAAAAGACAGCCAGTGGCATATTTTTTGAATGATTGCAAACATCAGCATATCATACATATGCCAGCACATAATTTACTAGAGATGCTTTTGACTTTTAATTTATTTTATTTTTCACACTGACTATAGTATAGACATGGACAAAAAGTTGTCCCTATGACATTTGTAACTTAAAGGTCTCAATGTAATAACAATTTATTTTTTTCATTTAGTGTTTTCAGTGTTGTCCGTTCTTTGTTGAAGAGGCAGTTTTCACCTCTGCATACACTGAACCATATAAATTATGCCATGTCAGCGTGGTAAAAGAGTAATGCTATTTAATCCATCTTCTTGAATTTGTTTTCTGGAAAGTCAGCTTGAGCTGAAAAAAATGAACATTTGCACGAAACATGCTGTAGAATTAAGGATTTTTGAGGATAACATCTTTTTTTTCAAACACTGTGGTATTTTGGACTGAAGTTGGGAAAACAGTGCATTGCAAAATAGAAACTTTTTATACACTTTGGCATTTAACCAACAAGAGATCTTTACTGAGCATGGTTGAATTTATGAAGTTACCTACTAATAATAACAACATGGTATTGACAAGATTTAGCATCTTTTTTTTTGACTGTGTATTACAAAAAGTTTGGTAGCTTTGGAAATGTAGGAGGCAGCTGTAGGTCAGTAGACCCAGGCCACATATTACTGATTACCATTTTACTTTCTCCCCTCCGAGTCTATTACTTTTAGATTATTTTCTTATAATATTCCCAAGAATATAGCTCCCAATGAAACAATAAGTTTTCTCAGACTTCTCTAGGAAGCTTAGGAAAGATAATTCACTTACACTTTAATGTTTGCATTGCTTTAACACTTAATGAAGAGTCAACCCCCTGCCATAAGAATATATGAATAAGGAAGAAGTCAGTACTTCCCAAAAGACAAATGTCTTTATGAAACGTGATGCAAATGTTGCAAGTTAAGCATCATTGGATTTTAAAATTTGATACTCACAAAGTTGTATAAATGTTGCTGTTATTGTAAGCTTGGATTTTATGCATTTAGATCGTAACAACCATTTGTTTCCAGCACTGTACATTTCAGTCTGTCAGTATGCTCAATAAAACCTAAATGGAAGAATCAAAACAGTTGCTTTCAAGATGCTGTTGCTCATGATACTTTAGCATACTAGGTAGGGTATATGTGATATGGTATATTGTATGCTCTGTAGTTGTAAAATTTGTATGAATTTTGAGCTGTCAATGCATAAATAATTCATTAACTCCCTAACCTGAGGAATAGCTTTCTTGGCCACGCTCCTGGGCATCAAGACTTGGTGTTTCAACTTGCTGACTGCATGGAATTAGTAAACAGAATAATGATACTGTTTTTCAGAAAAACCTTCTCGTTTGTGTTTCAGGCTGAGCCATGTGAACCACGCAGAAGATCTAGCCTCCAAACTACTCCAGTGTTTCCCAAAGAACAGATTGTCAGCACAGGCAGCTCTGAGCCATGAGTATTTCAGTGATCTGCCCCCACGGCTATGGGAGTTAACTGATAGTGAGTATAACCACCTTGAAATGGCTTGAAAACAAAGATGCTAGTTCATACAGATGCATTTGTGTATGCTAACCCTCACAAGCAGACAGCTTCATGGACATACACAGCCACACACAAAATATGTGACTGCGATTGTGTAGATTGAAATTACATAGTTAGCTTGACACAGGACAAAATGGATTCTTTCTTTTTGCTATCTCTGCTCTGCAGTCTGCAGCCTGCTATCTTTGTGTTTGATTATGTGTGCAGCCAATAGAATTCTCTGAATTGTTATAAAGCAAAAGGAAAATACAATTTACATATTTAGTGCTTTTCACTTTATAACATACAGTACTTCTTAACTAGCTGCAGCATGAAGGATAAAAATCCAGCTGTGTTTGATTCACAGAATCTCTGTATGTTATAATAGTAACCTTTAAGAAAGGACTTGGCATTCGGAAGTCTGAAAAACACCAAGTAGACAATGAATTAATTTGATGAATTAGACTGTGCACAAAGAGGTGATATTCTTAACTAAGAATGCTTTCACTATTTACATACATCTTTTTATTTCTTTCATTAAACAAAATGCATTCCAGTTGACTTGACATAAATATTCCTATCATCATGTAGGGTGTCAATTATCTCTTTAGTAATTGTAAATCTTTTATATTGTACACATCCATGTAATTTTTCAGTGTTAAAATCACACTACTATTTATTCTGGGGAAAAAATACATGATATTTTTTATTCAGAGAAAGTTCTGTTATTAAAAATAGGTTTCACAAGGCAATAGCAGCATTTTGCTTTAACTCAGTATGGTAAAGAAATGCATGTTGCATTGGAACACAGAATGTTCTTTTCTGCTTTCAAATATACATCCATTAGCAAAGGATCTAAATCCAGTACGTCAAGGCAGAAGGTTCAGAGATGCAACAATGGAACATGTGTGTGTAACCGTGGCTGATTTAAAAGTTTGCTTGTAAAAACTGAGCTCCCTTTCTGAATATTAATGCATTATAGAATCTGTTTACATCAGCGTCAGTATGAAAACTTTCATCTTCCAAAGGTTTATCTTTTCCATCCTCAACAGCTATAGTAGTCACATTTTGAGCTATTTCTGTGGCCTGGCTGCCCAAGTACCCTACTCCCAGCTCTGCTCTGAAGAGTGCTCTCCCATTCATAAAATATGAACATTAAAATCAAAATAGCACCATTAATTTTTGTCCATCACTGTCATAGATTGTGTCCTTGCTCTGCAAAAAGATTCCCAGTTTCCCCCTCTGCCACGTTGACCCACCACTCAGTTTGCTGACCATGGTACTTGATAGGCAGAACATGGATTCAGTGTAAATGAAGGCTTCTGTTGAAAGTCTGCCTTTGCTGAAACTCATGCAGAGGTTCATTTCTTCAGGACTAATGAAACATCAAGAATGCCAGTTCTTTTATCCTATTTCCACTAAATGGAAAACAAAAATCACTCTGCAGTGGTGACATCTCAATCCTTCTGACTGTGTGATTTAGTCTAGCCAGGATTTTGAATTCTGAATTCTGCAGTAGTACTTTTCTGTTAATATGGACTTATTACCCACTTGCCACTTAGTTTATCAGTCAGTGGTTAAATCCAGTTCTATCAGTGAAGTAAATGCCTACACATTATCACTCTGCAGCAGGCTGCCAACAGAGACAGTCTTGTCCTAGTCATTAACAAGCACAATGTATGCAGAACACCAGAGGGGAATTAAAACCACAAAAAATACCTCAGGGTGGTATTTTTAATATGAGAATTTAATTTGTAATTTCACAGATTAAGAATTTTGGCTGCATTAATCCTTTTATCAGCTCACAGCAGGTTATTTGCAGAAGCATAACCATAAGGCGATATTCATTGGCAGAAACACGTCTTTGCATAACGTTAAACATCAGGAGCAGTGAAACCTTTTGAAGGGGGGAGAATAAAGATGAAAAATCATTATATTTTAAAGCAAGGTTCTTCTAAATGCCTCCAGTAAAATTTGGAGTTACAGAAAGACTATTTCTGTGTCTAGTAGATAATCATTATGAAGCATAACTCCAGATGCAAGAAAGGACAATCCCAGTATCAAATACTACAATCATTTCTATTTAGTATGACTTGGATATACTTGTAAACATATTTACAAAACAAAGAAGTCATATACTTTGGAGAGTTGGGAAAATGTTTTCTGTGTAGTGAAATTACTAGTTTTTGTGATTCTAGTTTTCTGTGTTAATATTTTACATTGGGAAACGCTACAGATAGTTAATTAAATATAGGTATAAACATACTGAGTCTTTATGCACAACAGAAGTGTGTGTACAGACAAAATTTCCTGCTTTCAAATTCAGACACCACTGCGATTCTGCAAATCTCTCTAGTGAATAGTGTTCATCATGGAATATGTTTTGTCCAATTTGATCCTAATGCTGAATTGCAAATTTGGGGATTTAGCACAAAAAAACCAAGGAAAGACTCACATGTGAGGAGAAAGGCAGAGGGGAGGAATCAGTCAAATTATTTTCCATTGGAAAATTGTTTCCTTGGAATCACAGCATTTCACAAAAGTATGGTGACTATGTCTACATTGAAAAAGTGAAAATGGAGTGTTTCACTTTCTGTTCGCGTTTTGACTTTAGTGCTATATATTTGTATTCTATGTAATATTTTACATTATAATTTTTAATGTGGTTTATTTTAGAAATGTGTGCAAAATTAGTTTATGTGAGGAGCAGTTTCAATTTTTTTACTTGATTGAGTTTTAAGTCAAGGCATCATTTCAACTGGACTGGAAGTTCAATTTCCAGATAAGCTCTGTCTAACAGGTAGCTACTTTCAGGTTTTAAAAATAGGACATTAAAAAGGTAAGAGTAGTGCAGTTCTGCTGAAGACACCTTGTGTGGGAATACAATCCAATTCATGATGCAACATAGCTTTCATTCATCTCAGACCTGAGCAGTAATCTATAGATTAGCCCTTAATACTTGTTATTTTCTATTAAAAAAAAATCAGTCCTCCCACTCTTCTACTTTAATATTGAGAGCTCATATTCATTTATTTGCATAGAATATACGCCATTCACAATGTGTGTTACTGAGGATAGCAGAATGTGAAATGGAAGTTGAGGTGTCAAACTGCAGTGGGAAGATCGGTGCATAAAACAATAACCACGCCTTTTAAAGACACAGAGATGAAAGAGTAGCTTCAAAAATCTACAGCTATGCCAGTTGTTAGTGCAAACCCAAAGAAAACTGTTACAGCCTTGATTAGTTCTTAGACATTTCCTTGTGCAATCATGCAGTGGCAGCTCTCATGAGGATATTGTTATATGAAGGTTTGTTTTCAGGAGGGATTAAAAGTAATTGATTTTTTCCCCATCAGTTTGAGGCATCCTAAGTAAAAGTGAGTTCTCATATTATGAATATGCTAGTCCTTAACCATATGCAGTTTGATCCCTGTGATTATTAACATCACGTCTACTAGTAATTAATAGCCTGGTGTGACATTGAAATTGTCCAGGTTTTTCTAGCTCACTCAGAAGGGGGCTGCTTTACGTAAAAACTTTTTGAGTTGCTGGGATATTTTTATCAAGCCTAGTTGTCTTTAACAATTCAAAAATGAAAGTCAAACAAGATAGTTCATTTCTACTGACACCAAGATTGTCAAGATGTAATATGTGATATCAAATCATTGAAAAACTTTGCTGCATTTTTTTATATTCTTATTTCTTTCTAAATGCTCTCAGCAGAAATTTGAAAGTGAAAAATATTAATTATATAGTGGTGTACAGAAAAAATAAACACACATAACCTGGAAACAGGTTTTTTTAGAAGTTGCATCCAGCTAAGAATGTTTGCATCATACAACTTCCACCATAATGCATGCAGCTTCTTTCCATTCAGAATTTGTACAGTGCTTGCTTGCATAAATAGCTGGTAGACATAAAAGCTGTATATACTTACTGTGTTGTGTTTGCCATATATATTAAATAATTATTTTTAAATTACTGCTTTTACGGAAAAAAAATAATCAGAGTTTCTGAACTGACACTCTTTTTTTGCAGTGTCTTCTATTTTTACTGTACCGAATGTAAGATTACAGCCAGAGACTGGAGAAAGCATGAGAGCCTTTGGAAAAAACAATAGTTATGGGAAAGGTGTATCAAACAGCAAACATTGAAGAATACCTATGTTCACAACTGATAATGCAGGTAAGACATGATTATTGGAAGGTATATCTTTGAAAATGCTCTTTAGTTATCCTTAGAGAAACAAAATATAAAATTCAGCTGCACCTGTTCATGTGCAGGCTGATAATCTGTTTTTGCAGTCTTATGGTAATAGGAGTGTAAGTTTCTGGCCTTTTGGGCAGGATCAGTGTCACTGACAGGTTGAAAATATTGCAAAAGTTGGTGCTGGCATATTAAACAATAGGTTGCCTTTAATTTGGATTGACTTTTTTTCCTCTGGTAAGATACGCAGAGAGAAAATACTTCTTGCCAGTTCTGTTGTTTGGGGCGAGGATAAGAAATTCTGTGATTCTGTTCTATGATTTAAGGTCCTTTCCAACCCTAACTATCTGTGATTCTATGATTTAGTAGGTTTGGTAGTCTTGATGGCAGAAGGATGTTCTTGCTAGAGAAAGAGGTGCTGTCATATTAGTGAATATTATCTATATTCCTGACCTACTAGTACTGTGTCTGTTCTTTAGTGGCTTTCATTCAGTATCCCATCTTGTCAACCATAGTTATTCAGCAGTGAAATAGTGTGTTATATGGCTTCTGGTATTCTAAGTGCAGAATAGAACTTGGAAAGGGCTGGAGAGTAGAGACATTACTTACCAAATTACAGTAAGGGAATGGTGGATGTTATATCATGGCATTAATTCTCTTCTTCCCATATGCATCACCCTAGTGTTTGTTCAGTAGAATTTAGCACTTGACAAAGTCTTCCAGATAAGCAGTATTCCCTTATATAGCAGCTCTGTTTATTATGCTTCTCTAAATGGTTTCATACCACAGCGTTTCACAAAATACCTAAAGTGCGGATTCTTTTCATCCAAAAAACCAGTGTCTGCCTTTTTTTATTTATTTATTTTAAAGTCGCAGTTGCTTTTGCATGTTCAGTCCATTATAACAGCTTGTTACAGAAGTTCTAGGAGCTAAGTGCTCATGTGCTTATGTACCTATTTGAAGATATAGTCTCATAGAAATGTAGTTCATGTCTGTCTTTAGCTGTCTGCCTTTTACAATATCAGATATAACTTTCTCAAATTAATTACAATTGGATTTACTGTTGTGTGTTTATGTTCAATTGTTTTTTTAACCCTGTAATATTATGGAGTCTCTTTGCCTGAAAGGCAGTAACTACTGAAAAACTGGAATGAATAGGTTTCAGTGTTGACAGTCTGCCCCAATTTTTGCACAAGCTCTTTGCCAGCAAACCATTTAAGGTTCTCTAATGTCAGAAATGAGGCTGCCTCAGAGCAGTCTGTTTACATCTTTATTGACAAGCTAATCCCTACTTTTTCCTGGGGCTGTGTCCCTGCAGACATCTCTTCAACCTTGTCTGTTCTAACATGACATATCATCCATCTAAAGTAAATTTAGAATGTGCACATCTGTGCTAAAGACCTTTTGTATAGAAGCTAATGTGCAGAATCTCAATTCTCATGTACAGAATTTCCTTTCTGTTGCTTCCAAACAAATATAATTTTTCATTTCTACAATATGCAGAAGAAAGTTTGCATGTGCAAATGAGCATGTAAAATAGCACAAAAGAGAACCATTGGATTATTCTTACTGAATATCTATTTGAGCAGATGCAGATTACTTTTTTTATATGTAAACAAAAAGAGAGAACCATAGGTACCTTGACATATGTCACTGTACTGTTATGGCTGCTCAGCCACAGTTTTAATACAGAATAGCACGTTTCATTGTGTAAAGTCTGACGCCATTTAACAAATGTTCAGACATATACATTATTGATTACAGTTTTCCATTGTGGCTTGGGACTTTGTTGTGTTAGGTGCTTACAGTGGAATGATATATCAGCTCCCTGTTCCAGTATTTGTCTTGTGATATGAGATGGGGAGCAGTGGATAATGCTGGAAAAGTGTTAGCACCAAGCAGAAGTCCTCTTCTTTGTACTATGTGGAGAGCTGGGGATTATTGAGGTGCAACTAAAATAGCAGGAGAGGCAAAAAAAAATGTGAACATGGAAACTGGATTTGGGTGAGGAATTGCTAAAATTAGTGGAAACCTTTAAAGGCCTGAGACCACCAAGCAAGTGGAGGTATGAATTAGTGTAGGAGAGTGAAAGGAGTTGGGGAAAAAAGACTACAGTTTTGCTTATGTGAAAAGGAGATCTGGTGAGTAGCAGGTGGTGTGATTTTAAGCAGTAGAATGGGGACTGGCAAGTAGGATGTTCAGCCTGTAAGATGGGTGAGTTATGAGTCAGTTGTTCTAGCAGAAGTGTCAAGTTGCAGTAAGCAGGATAGTGGCATTAAGGAAGGGGTATTTATTACAAATATTCTCTTAAAGTCTCCATTCACAAGGCTCGGTTAAGCAAAAACATGCATGAATAGCAAAAAAAAGATGGCAGTAGCTCTCCAGGGCCATGAAGTAAACAGCTAAACAAGGCAAGTAGAGCTAGAGGGATGGAGGCAAACAGCACAAGCCCTTAAAATGTCAGTGAGCATGATCAGATAACATCACAGCCAGTGGCTCAGATTACTAATAGGGTTTTTGTGGACCACACTGCATCGTCTTGGGCTCCAAGAAGAGACAAGTTCCAGTGCCCATGGGGAACAACCTAACATCTGGAGTTACCAAGGTCAATGCTGAGGCTGCTCTCTGCTGGAGAAAATTAGCAAATATGTGGTAATGAGCTCCATTGCACACAGAAGAATCTGTCAGCAGTGAATTAGATGCAGCCTTTGGTGGAGAAAGGAAACAAACCTATAGGCCATATCCAAGCATCTTTAAAGCAGAAAAATTTTATTTTGTGCCTGATGGTTTTCACTGATATTTTTTTCCCCATGGGGAGGAAGCATCTTGGTGGAAGCATTCCCCATCTCTACATGTATTGTTGAGTTATATTGTATATATTATAGTCACCCATCTCTACAGACACAGTTTTATCTAGACAAGGACCATAAGAAACTCTAGAGCTCCGTTTCCACTTGGCCAGTGAAACACATGGCTAAAGCTTGTTGCTCTCTAGAGAAGGATGAATCAAATAGTAATTGAAAAGACAAGGCATTACCTGATACCAGATAGCACACAATGTTTTCTTTTGGTGATTTATAATCCCCAGTTCCCATTGGTGGACCAGAGACACAAGATGTGTTTCTGGCCTATTGTCTGCTTCCTGGAGCCAGCAGGGACAGCTTCATTCAGGATGGTAACACCATATGCTTTTAAAGTATTTAACCTGTATTACCATAATGAGATCCCCTGGCTTTCTAAATCTCTTTGACAATTCACTGAAGCAAAACAGAAAGTGGTCTTTATTTGTATTGCTTCACCACACGCACATGCATCCGAGCAATCCTGAATTTCAATTGCAGGATGCTGGATTCTTTCTTCTGTGTCTATTTAAGTCAGCAACTGACACCAGCCCAACCAATCAAAGAGATGATGGCGTCATTTGGGTCAGCTCAGCTGTGTAAAACAGAATAAAGCTGAAGAGGTGACAGTTACTACTATAATGGCAAAAAGTGCTAGCTATTTTGTACCTTCTGACCAGGCATTTTCAGTAGCACAGAACTGTTATGTAAAATTACCTTTTTCTCTTTACTGGCTAAAGAGGTGGGTGTTATTGCATCCCCATCTAAATAGTTTCATTTTTGTTTGTCACCTTCAGTTTTACATTTATAAATTGTGTAAGAGTGTCTCTTCAGCTCTGCTGTGTGGGAACATAATTTTTGCCTGCCTTGCCCTAGTCGAGCTGCAGGGAAGCTGTAGTCCAGCAGTGCATGTGTCCAGCAGTTAGTATTGAAAAGTCATTCTCATGCACTACTCCCCTGCGTTTACTGCATTCTGGGTGTCCCAGCGTTGCTAAAACGCTGTGGAAAACCATACACTGTGCATCTAAGTCTTCATCTCTGCAGCTTCAGGGGATAAAACTGTAGTAATTGAAGTGGAGAAAGGTCTGCATAAAAGAGAATTTCTGGACTGAGAGGCTCCATGTCAGCCAGATTTTTTCACTGTTGATTTAATCAAAAGCTGAAAGTAGCCAGTAGTGGTTTATAGGTGCACAATCTCAAAATTCAGTGTAAAAACAGATTGAGTGAGAAAAGCAGAGCTATGAAAGCACAGCAGTTGCCAGTTTAATTTTTTTAATGCACTTTCTTTTTTTTTAATAGATGGATTCAGATAGATGTATACAGTCATTGTGCTGCTGCAGTGGAAAAGACAGGGGCCTAAGATTGAGATGGGAGGTTTAAATTTCTCTTGCATCTTTTAGTGCCACTGTCTATACATGAATGTTGAGGGTCAGTTTAATTATTTAACTAATACTGGATTTGCATAAATTGGCTTCCGTGAAAAGGCTAATAAGGTGCAGTTGTGGTGGGCAGCTGAAAGCAATTTGGGTTTGAGTCCAGTAATGACAGTACTAAACAGAGTTGAAATTGTAACATCAATTTTGTAAAATGCTAGATTAGTATTAAGCTGTGAAAGATAACTACAGAATCCGAGACACTCTTTGGCTCTCTAATACTTTTAGTGCCATTATTTTCATGTGTTGACAACATAATGGTATTATGAGACTGTTCCAGCTGGGCTTTACTTAGTATCAAAGACTAAGATCACCACACTGATAGAATATATCCTAAATTAAACAGATAAGGGAAAAACTCCAGGTATTAAATTATATTCTCCTCATGATATCTATTATCTTATTTCTATTAATCTAAAATGAAAGTTATAGACTGATTTTCGCCCTCTATTCATCCATAAAAAAAAAATGCACCGGTATTCACTGGACTCTGCGCAGAGGGTGAAATGGACTGAGCAAATAGGTGGCCAGTGCAAAGCTGTCTTCATATAAACCGCCCATCTTACCTAAGTTACACATGGGGACTGGAGAGTGGAGGAACTGTCCATCAGGTCCCCTAGTATGCCACAGTAAAGGGAACCCACTACTTGATCAAGGAGTTCATAGGACTTAGAAAATATGTTTAATGGTTTTCTCATGTCAGTAC